AGGCTTCGCTTTCCCTTTTGACCTGGAATTCAGGGGACAAAATAAGCACCTTATAGCCAGGCTGCTTTGCCAAAGCACCTTAGAGCAATCAGCCAGGTTGGTGAGTGTCTGTCTTTCTGTGGTTTTAAAATTAATAAATAAATAAAGAATAATTTTGAGGTGGGGTTTGAGGTTGGGGGGGCAGGTTGTGAGGTGTTTTTTTTTTTTTTTTTTTTTTTTTTTTTTTTTTTTTTTATTTGGGTTTTTTTGAGACTGAAAGACTAAAGCAGCCTGGTGTTTGATACCAAAGTGTTGAGAGACCAGTGTGATTAACTTTGAAAAAAGTCCCAAGCACCTTGGAGCTTGTGTAAATCCAGATGCTTAGGACAGCAAAATTCTGCTGTAATGACTCCACTCTACAGACATTTGTCACCAGCTTATTTTTCTAATAATCTATTGCTCTGTACAATGTGACATTTGGAAATGAATGCCATAGCACATGAGAGATTTCTATCCCTGTTTTAAATGCATGTGACCTCTGAAGACTGTGAAGGAAGGCATTTCACCAGATGGAAGTGTTTGTGACCCTGACTTCCCTATGAGCTAGGAAGGTGTAGATGTGAGGGTTGATTACAGCTCATAATACACCAACACAATCTACTAGTCTGTATCATACCAGGTTGATTTTGGTGACTTTTTCCATTGAGCAAATACTAAACTAATGGGGATTCTGGCTTTAACTGTTGTACCTGTCGCCATCCTCAGGCAAGGGACCTGAAACTCTTTATGCTGGGCAGAAACTCAATGACAATGAGTGGCACACTGTCCGGGTAGTTCGGCGAGGAAAGAGCCTCAAGCTGATGGTGGATGATGATGTTGCTGAAGGTAAGTGTGAAGTATGAGCACTTTTTGTCATTATCTTTGTATTTCTGTTCCCAGTCTCTTCTTTGCCATTACAAAAACAGGGAGAATGGGTGCATTCCACTCCACCCCGATGACCTCCTCCCCCCACCACTTCACTCCATTACTTCTTGTATATTTAGCATTACTATGTTGAAAACTAACATTCAGTTCTGAGACCCTAACTGTCCGTAGCCGGCACGGGAAGCTTCTGTGACAACTACAACGATATGAAATGTAGAATTAGGGGACAGATGAGCTCCCACATACCCAGGAACACAGAGGTGCCAAGCAGCATTTGCTCCTGTGCCAGGTTATGTTTAGGGTATGCTCTGAGTATATCTCATTCCTGAGCTGCAAATGTAGTATTTTCCAATGCTGTGGAATCACAAACAAAGCTCTCTGACCCTTTCTTCTGCACAAACTTTCCTTGATGGTAAACCTGCATTTGACAGAGAAAATTCTGTCTCTGCTGTTCATTCTTTTTGGTGTTTTGTTAGTTTTTTGGTTTTCTTTTTAAGTTCCTGTGGTCATGGCTCAGAGCCATCCAGAAGGAAAAATCAAACGCAGCAGATTGTTCTTAACATTGTTTTAGAGATTAGGGAGAACCCAACTCACCAGAATATATCATATCATAACGTATGGAGTGCGTCAGTCTTTTTTTCCACCCCCCATTTCATTTCCTGACAGCTTTTTGAGCTCCTGCTTCTTTCTGTGGAGGAAAGTAGGTGAAGGGCAGAATAAAAGATCAATTGCTTAGTAAAGCTAATGTCTCCCAGGTTATGAGATTTGCATTGAAATGATCAATGTACTTTTTTTTTATTACAAAATTTTAGAGATTATATTTTTCTGGTCCTGTTGTCCACAGCTGCAAGAGCCAGAAACTTATTTTTCTTTTTTGAAAGGTCTAAAATCCTCACAGCTGTATATAACTGTAGGAACTGGGTTTTTGAGGGAAACACCAGCAGTGAAAAGGCTGATAATAGAATCACAGAGAATGATAACTCTGGGTGCAACACTGATAGGTATGTTCATCAAGTTCTGACCCACACTGTTTCACCGAATGCTTTGCTTAGTTACCTTCAGAGAAGAAGCTAGGAGGAGTGGCTGCCATAGGCAGTGCCAGAATACTACTACATCCTGTCTCTGCAAAAAGTTACTTTCTACTGTTTGAAGGCAGTTAATTTCAACCAATGTGGCAATTCAATTTGGAAAGCCGTGAGTCAGGGTTTTGAAATAATGCGGAAAAAGTGGGTTTGCAGTAAAGTGGCTTGGTATATATTTTCCCTCCAAAGTAAATATATACTGTGCTATATAGGCTGAGAATTTGCAAGAGAGAATCAGAAGCATATGAAAGAATAATCTTTCCTTCTCCTTGTTGAAATTAACAGGAGCTTAGTTGTTATTAACTTGTAGGAAAATTAAATTTTATTTAAGAGGGAACTTCCTGACTTAGTGAAACGTGGTGGTAAATGTTTCATCCTGTTTACTTCAGCATTTAAGAACTATGTTTCTGGATATGCTTTTTTAACAAGCACCATGAGGTGGCAGTCTCTGCATTACTAATTCAATCCCCAAGAAGCCATCTGTTTCTTTGTAGTCTTTTTTCTTGAAACTGAGTTTATAAATAATAATGATACAATCCTATACTAAAAAAAGATATGCATATGTATATGTATATGAATTACATAATTAAAGATGCATTACAGTTAAAAATATCTGTTAAAAGAATGGCAAAGTCAAAAGTCAGAAAAGCCAGTTAAGATTTTCTGTGCAATCTGCATCCCACTTCCTTGGGCCGATAATATAGCCTTCAATGTTGTGGTCACATAGATTTTTCCACAGGATTCTTGCTGTCTTTAAGCATAGATCAAAAGTCTAAAATGGGCCCCCAGTAAAAATAAAGAGCCTATTTGATTGCCGCTTTCTTTCTTACTGCTTGGTTGGAACAATGCATGCCAACTAAATTTTGCTCTAAATATAGAGTTCGTGTTTTTCCCTCTTTTTTTTTTTTTTTTTTTTTTTTTTTTTTTTTTTTTTTTGTGTGTGTTTTTTTTTTTGTGTGTGTGTGTGTGTTGTATGCTACTCACCAATATGTTTATACAGAAATAAGAAGCTGTAACTGGACTTATTCCCATGTATTTATATGAAGTGAGTGGCCATCTTTTTCCCATTTTTCCCATTTAGAAGTTTCGAAGCAAGGCACCAGATTAAAGCTGCATGTAGTTGATAACAATTTGGCATGATTTTTCAGTCATTTATATGGACTAATATTCAAAATGTCTGTATATTGGATCCTGTAAATTAACTCAGCGCTGGTACTGGGAGAATTGGGTCTAGACAATTAATGACCACCTGTTAAAAATTTGTAATGAAGTGACTGACTTGGCTTCCTGCAGGACATCTGAGGGAGAGACAGAATCTAGTTATCTGGTTCCTCCGGACAGCATTTTGCTGCTTAATCACAAACCGCTCCTCCTAAATTCCCCCAGCCCTCAGGACAGACCTCAGAACATTTGTAATAGACGAGACACAAATACAGCAGTCATATTCTGCCCTACAACATCTTGCTAGTACCCAAATACTGCAGGGGAGGCTGGAATTTTTTCTGTCTGCTACTGCTTGAGCTCAAGAGCTGCTGATTGCTGTAGTAGTTACAATACCCTCTACAGAGCAAAGTGGAGAAATTAGAGGAGAGCTCTGAAGGTGAGGCTGACAACTAACGAGATCAGAAAATACTGGATTTCACTCCATAATTTCTTAAGAAAATGCATCTCTATCCTGATTCTTGTATTGCCATGTCCTTTTCAGCTTTTCACTGAACTACTCCTGACTTTCTGCCCTACCAATGTGATTGCTGTCCTATTTCTTTTAAGCCACTTCCAGTTTTCTCATTTTTCACATTTTCTGAAATTCTGTGTTCACATCCTCCAACTTGCCTTACTCCATTTCTAATGTCCCCTATATTTGGCTTCCCTGTCCCAGTGTTTCCAGATTTCACAGGCTTTTCTTTCCTACTCTGGCAACAAATTCATCTTTATCTAAGAGTAGAAGAGCTAAGGAGAGTTTTCTGGCTCTTAGTCCTTGACATCTCTAAATTTAATTTTTCTAATCTTTTGAAGTAAAGTAGTAGGATTTTTATTTTTAAAAGGTGTTTTAGATTTTATTTTTAGGAAAATACTGTTCTTTGGGTTTGGAAAAATCAGAAAAATTACTTTGCTAACACTAAAACCAAAACAGCCCCTAACAATCACATTAATGGAAGTGAGATGTTTTTTCTACCTAACTTTCCCATATACAGTTTTAGTTCCTGTGAACTGCCATTTTTCCAACTGAAACATTAGTGTATCTGGTAAAGAACCATTTCAGCATTTCAAAGCATTTGCATTAGTGCTGACACTTGAATTTCTGAGCAGTCAGAAATACGTGACTCTCTTCAGGTGCTGGTAAGTCTGTCCTTCTGTGTCTGTACTGATGCCTAGCACACTTACTGAAACATCTACATACGCTTCAGGAGTAGTCGGAGGTATTTGATATATTGAATAGCTTGCATATTTTAACTGAGGTTAAAGTCTGTCAATGTGACAAATAGCCCAAGTGGTAGGCTGCTGATTTAAATATATGGAGGGCTTTTTGCCTATTGCATTCTTGTGTGTTTCCCTCCTGCTGTGCTCTTAAAACAATAGAAATAATGTTAGGCACATGGAGAGATCAATGGAATAAATACTAGCAGGTTTGTGACTGTTCTCATTCTGCTCTTTTTATATTAATCTGTTTATTGAGTGTTTTCAGGAAGCACACTTATAAGAGTAGTTTCAGAAGTGTCTGAGTTGTTTGGCAAATGAACTGCTGGATGAAATAAGATCACTGTGGGCTTTAAGAGAGAGACCTAGTCGTCTTTGCCAACAAGAAAGTCTGTGAAGCACGGGGAAAAAATAAAGAGCTTGCTGCCCACAGTCCCTTAGTTCTGTCTTGTTTCTTCTACCAGATTTTTGGCAACTGCTAGACTCAAGCTTCTCCACCAAGAGTCTCCACATGCTTTCTTATGTGAGCTGCTTAACAGTGACCAGATAGGATTAAGTTAGTACCACTATTAGTCTGGAAACTGGAGGGTGAAGGGCTCCATATAACCTGGTACTGATTTCTGGGCTTTCTGCATGTTCCTCCTTGTTTCTGTCCTTCAGGCACGATGGTTGGTGATCACACCCGCTTGGAGTTCCACAACATTGAGACAGGGATCATGACAGAGAAACGGTACATCTCTGTCATCCCCTCTAGCTTCATTGGCCACCTCCAGAGCCTGATGTTCAACGGGATGCTCTACATTGACCTGTGCAAGAACGGCGACATCGACTATTGTGAGCTGAAGGCGCGTTTTGGTCTGCGCAACATTATAGCTGACCCTGTGACGTTCAAGACCAAGAGCAGCTACCTGAGCCTGGCCACCTTGCAGGCTTATACATCCATGCACCTCTTCTTTCAGTTCAAGACCACCTCAGCTGATGGTTTTATCATCTTTAACAGTGGTGATGGCAATGACTTTATTGCAGTTGAACTAGTCAAGGGGTGAGTGACTTTCTGCTATATTCTGCCAGCTTATTTATAGATAAACTTACTCATAGGTAAACCTAAAATACTCGTATAAAGAGAAATGCACTTCATATTTTCTCTCTTTGATGAGGTGTATGAGAAAGCACTTGAACATAAAAACTGAAGCTCAAGATTCCTGATTTTATCGCTGGCTTTTCCATATGGCTGAGGGAAAGACAATTTTACAGTGTGAAACATCAATGTTTTATGTCCTTTGGATCTACTTCAGCTGATGTTTTGTCCTGTTAACCTTGAAGAATAACACAAAGGAGGAGGAAATGTGCTGCGGGTTCTGAGCCTCTCTCCCCTCCCTCCCCCCTTTTTTTTTTCCTGTAACAGACTCATGTTTCTGCCATCTCCAATGAAGGGAAAATAAGAGGATACAGGCTGCTGAATTTATATTTCTGCTGGTGATGCTTGAGGAAAAGTCAGCTCAGCTTGCTTTTGATCCTCTATAGTGTTCTGCAAGGCCAATAGATTATTTTAAACAATCGTTTGCTGGCTGAACAAATTTTGATCTCTAATGGTCATTTTGTCACTGTAGATGTGTTTTTGACAAATATTAGTCCTATTTATTTCAGTATAACTAAAGTTCAATCTGTTTAATTTTTAACTTTACACGTATTTCTCTAAGTGATACATTGAGTAATAAAAAAAAAAGTCAAACCCTAAAAACAAGTCAAAGATCCTTGTGCTTTGTTGAGTGTTGAATTTTGCTGTCTTTTTTTTCCTTTCCAAGTAGAACATGTATCTTCTATCCTCAGGTGGATTTCTGTGTTTGATCTATATAAATAATTTAGAGTAGCGCTTCCATGACTTCGGTCTTTGTTAGAGTCTTTATTTTTGGCAGAAAAGTTTGCTGATTGCTTTCCAGCTGTTTAAATAAGGCTAGGAAGCCATGTGATTTTTAGTACAATATTTTGAGTGAATATCCCAATTAACTTCTCTATGGGAATTATTCAAAAGTCAGAATGAATCTGGGGAATATGTGCCCCAAATAAGCATATCAACTATTGCTCTTCAGTACATTTTATCAATATTACTTATTTTAAAAATCAATTATGTGCACAGACAGGAGGTTTGTGTGGATCTCTGAGAACTTTGTGAAAAAGAGGAACGCTTTATGGTTAGAATCTGATTATTCCAAATGTTATCATCTCAAAATACTAATCCTTGGACTTTCTTGATGGAAAGGAAACAGTTATCTATTCAAATCTGTGGCTAATATTTTGGCTTGCTAGAACTTTCTAATGCAAAGATACTTCCTTTCATGAATTTTCTAAGTAAAACTATCAACTCTGGCTAGCCTAAGGGTCAGTAGGGCTTGAGTTGTCACAAAATCTTAACTAGTTCTTGCTGTGTTTACAGGTATATACACTATGTGTTTGACCTTGGGAATGGACCCAATGTTATCAAAGGCAACAGTGATCGTCCTCTTAACGACAACCAATGGCACAATGTTGTCATCACCAGAGATAACAGTAACACACATAGCCTAAAAGTGGACACTAAGGTGGTCACTCAGGTTATCAATGGTGCCAAAAATCTGGATCTTAAAGGTAAATTTTACAAGACTGACAGTTTCCCCCTTTATTCTTTCAGCGTTCAACCAGTAAACAAGAGAAAGCTTGCAGGAGCTATGCATTACAGAACAGTAAATCTGGAATTTCCTTATTTTGGCTTTCAATTTCATTTTTCTCTTTCTCTGCTTGACAACTCCCTGTAGCAGGATAGGTTATCGTGTTTTGCCTTTTTTCAAAAATTGTCATAGTACTGTTTTTCCTAGTTAGGGTGCAATTACAACTGTTTTTTTTTTTTTTGGTTTGGGGTTTGTTTTTTTTTTTTAGTAAAGGAGGCAGAAATTACTTCTTGCACAATGTCTTGCTCTACTTTTAACTTATTCTGAGCAGCTGTTCAGCTTGGTGTGTGTATATCTGGGTGTGGAGGAAGCTACTCTAGAATGTATGTGATTTCCTCCTCCTTGTATGTTTTCCTCTTTTCTAGGTGATCTCTACATTGCTGGCCTAGCTCAAGGCATGTATAGCAACCTCCCGAAGCTAGTGGCCTCTCGTGATGGATTCCAGGGCTGTCTAGCATCTGTGGACTTGAATGGGCGTCTGCCTGACCTAATCAATGACGCTCTGCACCGCAGTGGGCAGATTGAGCGTGGATGCGAAGGTATAATTGATTTCAGAGAAGTTCCCCTCTCCAGTACTCCTCTCTCACTTCATTGCTGCCTCCTGTTCATCTACTTGGCCTACCGTACTATCCATTGCATTAGTTTGCTTTCATTGTAACATCCTCTGCTACACTTCTGTTTTCCAAGTGCTCCCAAATGCAGCATAAGGATAGCAGCTTCTGTGAGCAGCTTAGCAGCTGTTCTCCTGCATACTCGACCCCCTATGAGGTGGTGCCTCCATTAGTGGAAAGAAGGTTACTGGGATGGACTGCTATTTGCTAGCACTTTTCTCAGAGTAGTTTATTAATATTCTTGTGCTCTTACAATACTTCAAAAGAGGTTCTGAACCTTCAGTTCACTTGTGCTTGAGAGCAGTCTTGTTTTGGGATCTACAGAAGTACTTTGAAGACTAAGTATAGACAGGGGAAATGAGAGGTAGAAAGAAATGACAGGTGAAGATCAGACCAAAACAGGAGTTCTTTTTTAAGGAGGTGGGCTTCCAATGAAGTGCATTGTCTCTTCTGTCTCTTTCTCTTCTGTAGTTTTCTTTTCCAGCCAGTTCAGAAACAAATGTGATAAGTGACTTTTTAAAGCATGTAAAGAGTAGTGATTTCTTGAAGCTACTTTAAATAATTTACTGTTCCTGCGAAGTTCCCATTAACTAGAAGAATATTGACATCACCAGCACTGACTCAGTAACATGCTATATGGCACCAATTCCCAAAGTATTTGGGAGGGATACTTGCTATCAAAAACACCCAAGGTTTTGCCAGGTGGGTTAAATAAAAATCACCATAATGTCTAGCTCCACCAAATACCAGTCTGCTGTGTTGGCTACCAGTCAATGAGGGGAAGATAGTTCTTTCAGTAAGGTTGCCTGGCATGAATGTTTGCCCTGAAGGGAACCTTTAAGACAGGACTTCGCAAAGTGGAATTACTTTTTAAATGTATTTCCCTACTATGTCAAGATTATAGATTACATTATGCTGAAGATTTGCCACTTGTCAAGGCTGTCTCTTCTTAGTACTGAAAGTATCATCTTAGTGCTATCTTTGAGTATTCATGAAACACCAAATTGGCAGGCCAGTTAAATCTGATCCCTTCAATGTCTCCCAGTGTTCTGGTTGGCTGGGAGCTCCTGTGCCTTGGCACATCTTCTTCCACACTCCCACAATGCTCTGGTCTGTGAGAATTTTGTGTCCTGTCATAGGAGCTCACTCAATGTCAACTTTAATTTCACAGCATTGGTAAGTACTGCACAGCTGTAGGCTGTTCTTTTTTCTGTCTTTCTACTGTATCTAATAGTGTCTGTTAACCACATTTATTCCTTGTGCAAATGAGCACAGAGTAGCAAAGCTTGTGGCTTTGTCCATTTGTGGCAGAGCCAAAATGCCGAAAGAATGCACCTTTTCTGTCTTGTTTTTTACAAGGTTCAAGAAAAACAAATGCCTTTTTTTTTTTTTTTTTTAAAAAAAATGTCTTTTCTGATTACGCTCTGTGCACTCAAAGCTAATTATAGTGATTTCTGGTAATTCTTCAATTCTTCTATTTAAAGTTAGCTTAATCAATTGACTGTATAGCCTGCACATTGTCTCTACTAGCTCTTCAGAGGAACTCCCATTTGACTAACCTATTGTTCTCTGTGTGGCTTGGGAAAGAGCGTCATGAGGCCTTCCCAGAAAACTCTGCACCGTTATTAGAGCTATGGTGTGTCTTTCTCCTGTACCCAGTGTAGTTCTTCGGTTTAGTGTCCTACTACTGAGGTTGCATAAAGTCAGTGTCACTCCTAAAGCATGTACTGTGGCACTGACTTTGTCTGTGTGCCAGTCTGGTGCCAGCACAGCTGCTGCCTGAATTTGAGATTGGTTCACTCTTAAAAATGTCAGAAATGTGAGTTCCCCTTGTCATGTAAAGCCCTTTGAACAAGATTCAAAGTTGGAGACAAACCTAAAAAACCGGTTTGGAAGGTCAATAATGACAATGATGACCTTTGGAAGAAATTGTTCCTGCAAAGCAGTGCCTGTGCTATCTTCCTGAATGGTCCCTGTTCATACCAAGGGAACTGCTGAAGAGGAAGCCATTCTCGTTGTCATCGTATTTAGGATCAGTAAAAACCCCTGAGAATTAGGTCAGCAGAAAGCTGTTTCATTTGATTTTTTTTTTTTTTTTAATTGCACCAATCCACAAGGCTTCATAGAGTGTCTTGACTGCTACCTGCTAGTACCTGTTCTTACAGCTGACAACAAATGTCACACCTATCTCACCTTTTTCTAAAGGAAAAAAAACTCTAAGTGTGTTCAGTCTTTATTTAAGTCTTCCTGTTTTGTTTCCATCTGAAGTGATCTTGGCTGCAGTCTTAATGTTTGTAAGGGCTTGAGTCTCAAGCAGTTCTTGCTGTCTCATGATGTCTAAATGTGTTTGTGATAATCAGTTGCAGGCTCTTTGGGTGAATAGGTGTGCTGTGTGTTGATTTGCAGGACATGTCCTTATTTCATCACGAAAGGCATTTGGATCTCGTACCTGATGAGAACATGCATGCTTAAAGAAATTCCATTCCATCCCCATATATGAATCTTGCCTTCCAAATGTAGTGTGAGATTTCTGCTGGTGCTGGCCCTTGTTGCAACTTTGCTTTCAGAAGCAGAGGAGATCACAGGCCGTTTTCTCTGATACTGTCAGTTTGATCTGGGAACAGAATCAAAAGATGTGTGGAGGAAGGAAGCCTGGAGAAAAGTAGAGTGTGAGAGATATGTCATCAGACAGCGCTGTCCCACCTAAGACAGACCAGTGCCACTGCAGAGGGGTGACATTGCTACATCCTGTTCACATGTTATCTCTATTCATGCATTTCAGTACCCTATCCCATACCACCAATTAAGATTTCACAACTTTTAACAGGAAAATAGTGTTCCTTATTGTCTCAGTTCTACTGCCACCTCCTTTTATTTGGTTCCAGCAAGCCATTGAACTTCCTTGACCACCTTGTTCCTCTTAAGTGCTCAAGCCTAATTCAGCTTTGCAGTGCACCAAGGCATTATACAATTAGCTGCATTCCAGTGATGGGTAAGGCAGTGCTTCTGTTAGAACAGGAAGTACTTCCAGTTTAAATGATAATTATGGGAGCACTTTTTCTTTAGGACCTGGAGAATCCGAAAGCATTCTTAGGCTGTACGTAGCAGTCATTAACTGAAATGAAAGCATCTTTGAGACTGTAAGTGGCTGCTGTTTAATAGTCTGTGGTGATGCTAAACAACAACAACAAAAAAATAAAATTAAAAAAAACCAAAACAGTTCAAGACTTAAGGCAAGAATTACTTTATTTCTGATTGACTATCAGTTTTATTTCTATAATTTCTTTAAATTATCTACAGTGGGATTTGCTTAGGATAGCACAACTAAGTAATCTCTTTATCTCTTTTGTTAGCCAAGTGAAAGGTTCCTTTTTGCATTACCCAGCTTCCTTGTGTGCTGTATGTACACGCTTAAGGTTTCTGCTTTTGAAGTCCATTGTGCTGGCCAAGATAAGTGCCACACTGATCTGTTTTGTGTTTTAATGCGTCCTGTAGAGCCATCACTTTTGGCAAAGAATTTTGTGGCTGATCTGGAAGAAGAGAACCCAAGAGTGTCTGAAATCCCAAATGAGCCCATGGAATTAAAGCCCCACACCTTACACCCCTTCATTTTGGCATGTAGTGGTCTGGTTTAATTTTATTGCTCTTTTGCAATTGCTGCTTTTCTGATTTTTTGGGAACAACCAGCAGCTCTTCATTGATCTTGAAGGCCTGGTCAGACCTGTAGTAGCAGCTCATGTTTCCCTGGAAGGTATTCAGCAAAGACAGAAAAAATTCTTGCTGCCTGGTGTGTAAAATCTGTTCTGGGTTAATGTGCTACCTGCAACTGTGAGAAGAATGAAGTTTCAGGAAAATGACATTGTAGCAATGTAGTTGTTCATTTTCCACATAGTATCTTTTAGCTCTCATGCTAACTACAGCTTTCCTCATCATCTTTTATTTAATAAGAGGCACCTTCCTCTTACCATCACCCAAAAAGAAAGGGTGTTGTTGAGAGGGCCTGAGAGAAAATGTACAAAAGGTGGGAAGGTGATTAAGAGTTAAGTGGTCCTTGTGCTAGGTCAGGCTACTGAATGCTTTGAAGTGATAAAGTTAATTCTCAGAAAGGACTTCATGTTGGGGGCACACTTCTACTTGGAAGCTTGCAGGCAAATCTGCTGCCTACTTTGGGTCTTGCTCTTCCCCACTCATGAAATAGGCACAATGTATTCATCTGTTTGCAGTGAGAGTAATAAATTGTCTTGCAGAACGCTTTAGGAGAAGAGTAGGTGGAGGCCCCTAGAGATGAGCACAGCATTAGAAAGTGAGGAACAGAAGCCCTCTACCATGAGCTGGTTCTCTCCAGTTTCCAGCTCAACAGCCTATGGGCTGTCATTGGGAATCTTTATACAGTTCCTGAGTCTGAGTAATACAGGCTGTTTCCATATTTGTGTCAGACATACACAGCTTGAAAGAAAAGATTCCTACACTGTAGTGTTGGAGGATGGAAGAAGTTCCAGGTGACCTTCTTTCCCTCCTTGAGTAAACTGGTTTAAACTTTGTATCGGCTCCTCCTTGATTCTAAACGTCTGAAATAAATTCGTTTTGCTGAGCACTTCATTCCTCGTCTTACTACTAGATGAATGGATCAGTTTATTCCACCCAAAAAAGACAAGTTTGTGTGACTCACTGCTTTTTTCTCACTTATCCTGGGAGAAGTTAAGTGGATAGCCAACCTGTTGTGGAGTTAAAAGTTATTGCCCTAAATATTAATGAGTTCTTCGTGCATTTGGGGTGTGTTTTCACCTCTTCGTTAATTTACCATATGTTTTTCTGTGTTTTCCATTCGTTTATTTGGACATCCGTATGTTGCTTACTGGGGGCACTAGAGCTATCCGAAATTCAGCTGCGCATTCTAAATACATTGTTCCTCTCCTCTCCACCTTTCC